TGACTGCTTTCCCTGTAAGTTCAATAACAAGACAATGATATCTGCTCTCACCGCTTCTGTTCAACATTGTATTAGGGGTGTTAGCCCGTACAATAAGACAAGTAGAAGATAACCAGATTGAAAAGGAAGAAGTAAACTATCTTTTTTCATATACACAAGATTTTCATATATATATATATATATATGTATGCCAGAGGAATCTACAGAAAGTGATTAATAAATGAGTTTAGTAAGATTGCAAGATACAATTTTAATATATAAAAATCTATTGAATTTCTATATACTAGCAATGAACAATTATAAATTGAAGTTAAAAGTGGTTGTAAATGTGTTAGTTGTAAATGTATACTTACAGTAGCATAGAAAATTTTGAAATGCTTGGAGATAAGTCTGATGAAAGATGCATGCATTGAAAACTATAAAACATTTCTGAAAAGAATTTATAAAAGACCTAAATAAAGGTAGATATACACCTTGTCGATGGGTCAGAAGACTTGATATTGTTGTCAGTTCTCCATAAATGATCTATGTAGTTGATGCAATCCCAATCAAAATCCCAGCAGACTTTTTTGTAGAAATCAACAAAGTGGTTCTAAAATTCATATGGAAAGGATCTAGAAAATGAACAAAGTCGGAGGACTCACACTACCTGACTTCAAGATTTATTATAAAGCTATGGTAATCAATACAGTGCGGTATTGTCATAAAGATAGATAAATCAGTGGAACAGAATAGAGTCCAGAAATAAAACCACATATGTATGAACAACTGATTTTCAACAAAGGTGCAAAGGCAATTCAGTGGAGAAAGGACAATATTTAGAAGAGGTACTGGAACAATTGGATATATATATGCAAAAATGAACTTGAATTCATACCTTGTACCATATACAAAAATTAATTCAAAATGGATCATAAACTAAGTGTAAAACCTAATATGAAAACTTCCAGTGAAATACTGGATGGACCTTGAGATAATCACACTAAGTGAAATAAGCCAGACAGAAAAAGTTGAAAATCACATGATATCACTTATATATGGGATACAAACCTAAAAGCAAAAACTAACAGGACAAACGAACAGAGACTCACGGACATGGACAATAGACTAGTGCTTACCAGAGGATAAGGGGTGAGGGAGAGGGGAAGGGGGAGGTAGACAGAGTAAAGAAGGTCAAATATGTGGTGACATAACTATGGGAGATGCACACACAGTGTAAATATATATATGCCTTACTGTTAAAGTGTACAGCTGAAATTTATTGGATTTCGTTAACCAATGTCACCATTAAAAAAATAATAATTAATTAAATAAAGAAAGAAAGAAAGAAAGAAAAAAGAAAACTTCCAGAAGTAAACATAAAACTATAAAACTTCTAGAAGAAAACTTTAGAGATCTTGGGAGAGGCAAAGATGTCTTAGATACAACACCAAAAGCATAATCCATAAACGAACAAATTGATAACTTGGATTTCATCAAAATTAAAAACTTCTGCTCTTCAAAATATACTGTGAAGAAAATGAAGACAAGCCACAGATTGAGAGAAAATATTGGCAAATCTGATATAGGGCTTGTATCCAGACTATATAAATAACTCTCAAAATTCAATAATTAGAAAACGAACAACCCAGTTTTTAGAATGGGCAAAAGATTTGAACAAACACTTAGCCCAGAAAGATGTACAGATGGCAAATAAAGACATGAAAGGATGCTCAACATCATCAGTCGTTAGGGAAATACAAATTAAAATTACAAGGAGATACCAATACACCTAAGAATGAAAAAGACTGACCATTCCAAGTATTGATAAGGATATGGAGAATTGAGACTCTCACACTGCTGGTGGGAGTGTAAAATAGGACAACTAATTTGGAAAACACTTTGGTTGTTTCTTGAAAAGTTAAACATATACCTGCCATATGATCCAGCCATTCCACTCCTTGATATTTACCCCGCAAAAAAGAAAGTGTATGTCCATACAGACAAGCAGCTTTATTTGTTACAACCCCAAACTGGAAATGCCAAATGTCCATTAGCAGGTAAATGGATAAACAAACTGTGGTCTATTTACCCAATGGAATATAGCTCAGCAATAAAAATGCATAAATCATCAACACGTGCAACAATATGGATGATACCCAGATAATTAAGCTGAGTGAAAGAAGCCAGACAAAAAAGAGTACACACTGAATAATTCCATTTAAATAAAATTCTAGGAAATTCAAACTAATGTATAGTGATGAAAAGCACATCCACGGTTACCTGGGAATGGGGTGACAGAAGGAAGGATTATAAGGAATCATGATGATATTATAATTTATAATTTCAGGGATGATGAATGTCCCTCTCTTCATTGTGGTGATAGTTTCATGGGTATATACATGTCAGAACCTATCACATTATATACTTTAAATATGTGCACTATTGTATGTCAACTATATCTCAATAAAGCTATCTTTAAAAGATATTAATGGCAGAATCTAGCGAAAAGACCACTCTGACTATGTGCCTTAATCAAATTGCTAAACGTCTAGTTTCCTCATCTGTAAAGTAGGAATGATGTTACTTTCTTTGTGGTGATAATTTAAAATAACATGTTAGATATGTTTTATACAAAACAGATGCCTAATTAGTGATGGAAATAATATAATAATGCTTTCAAGAATAACAAGAAGAAAAAATAGTCACTTGACTCAAAAGTGTTCTGCTTGCATATATCTGGAGAGATTTCTATGGAAGGTTCGAAGGTCATTGCCCCTGGTTTCCCAATTCCTTGGGTCACAGTTTTACATACAATGACTAGGCATTAATATTGTGGTAAGATCTGACCCATCTATTTCTCCTTCTCTCCCACCTCCTCTCTGCTCGTAGTTTGGTCAGAGCAGAAAGAGGATTCCCTTAGCCTGTGCCACTGAACAGTCCCACCTGCCAGCCATCCTGCCACCTCATGGTCTCTTCTTTGCTCTCCTAATTTTGAAACCTTGAACCGCATAAACTCGTAAAGATTAATCAGGAACAAGAACATTCCTGGGAAGATTAAGAGAGGATGTATGTCAATCACATAGCATGCTTCCTGGCACATTGAACACGTATGTGAACATTAGTAATTATGGCTTTACTAAATATGGATGAGATCACCTGTCTGGCTCCTGTGTCTCCCTCACACACATGGAGAACTCTACAGTAGTCACTGGGCCAGTGAATTCCAATCTTGTTATAGGCAAGTGAGAGGAAAAAGTACACACCATCCCTACCCTCAAAGAGTGCACAGTTCATGAGCAGCTTAGCAAGGGAACATAGGACAGGTTCAAAGATGGGGGAAATCAAAGTGAGCAAAAGTTATCAAAAGTTATCACCCGGGAAAACATCATGAAAAAAAGAGGACAAAGAGAACCTGTCTTGTTTGTGTGTGTTGTGTGTTTGTAATCCTCAACCCTTAGCATGGTACCTGGCATGTACTTGGACCTCAATTAATAATTTTTGGTTGAACAAATGAGTGAATGAGGATGGCTGGAGATGGTACCATCAAAAGTAGAGAAGAGATAGAGAAGCAAGAGCTGGGGCCCAGAGTTGTGAATGAGTAGGGTCCGTTTGGCTAAAGAAAGGCCAAGGCTGGGAAAGAGCTGATACAGGAGATGGGGGTGGGAGTGAGGGATAAATGGCAGAATGAAGAGCCTAGACACTAGGTTAGGGACCTCTCTGGACACAGGAAGATTCTTACAGACCTCTCATGGGGCAGGCCCACTCATACCCAGGGTCATCCTTTGGCTCTGCTGGGTCTTCCGAAGTTATAGGCACACACCTGCTCCCCAATTCTCCAGACAAGCTGAGCCAAATGGAGAATCTTGTCGTCTAGTCCTTTCTTTCACCCACAGATTGGGTGAAAGAATCCACGGAGGGGATTCGGAGGCCCTCTTTCTCCTGTAGTAGGCACCCCCTGCCCCCGCACTCCTGCCTAGAGGAGAGCAGAGGAGCCACCTGACAGGACACCGCCCATTCAGCTGGCACACAGTTTCCTCACACATTTACATGTGCCACTTACGTAGGTTCCTAGACACTTCTGAACATCAGGGAGCCAATACCAGAGCAAAGCAGAAAAGCAGCAGGGACTCATTCAAGCCAGTCAGCAAGGAATAGACATATGAACAGGCGGTGCCGACCACGGGGCCATGCCCGGGGCCTGAGCCCTGGCTTTGACCCCGCCAGCTCACGGCTGATCAGGAGCTGGCGTGAATAGCTCCGGGCCCGTGGATGAGAGTGTCAGGGCAGAGCGCTGAAGCAACAGTCAATGTGCCTGGTGCCTCCTGGTGTCCTTTGACCTGGCCCCTGTTTCAAGCCCTCAGAGCCCTTGCTTGTGCCATTTTAGATATTCAGTGCTTCTAGAACTGATCTGCAACTTGGAGAAAGGTTTCTTCACACGAAGCTAAATTGTTTCCCATTTGACCACCGCACTGAGGTCTGTGGGTGTTCAGTGTACCCCATGAGACCCCTCCGAGGCACTTTAGTTACTGACCCTGCACCTTTGGGGGGCTGTTCCCTTCTTTTGAGGTATATTCCTGACAGATACCCTAAAGACTATGCTAAAGGGAAGTTTTGAGCAAAGAAAGAGCAACATTTCTTTCTGCCCAGTCATGGAGAAGTGGGGCTTTACCTGATTGGAGACAGATTGGAGCAGAAGTCCTTTGGATCAAGGCTTCTTGATCTAGTGCTCTGAACTGGTTAAGAAAGAATTCCATTGCCATCCAGCAAAGGAGCCCACCTCTCTGCTCCCACTCCCTGGCTGCCCCCCACCCAACCCAGAGCCTTGTTTCTCTTGCCCAGGTGCTCTGAGCAGCAGCCACAAGGCCTGAGCAATGGACTCTGAGCTTGGAAAGCCCCTCACCCAGAATGTGCATGCGTACCTATGGCCGTGCCTGTGTGTGCGTGTGCGTGGACTTGCACGTAAGCGTGTGTGACAGAAATCGCTTCTGGAGCATGTTGCCCTCTGTCTGCCCATCCAGGTTACTCCTCGCTGCAGGACGAGCTGCTGTCCCCTGCCTCCCTGCACTACGCGCTTCCCTCTCCGCTGCGTGCAGACCAGTACTGGAACGAGGTGGCCGTCATAGACGCCATCCCCTTGGTGGCCACGGAGCATGATGCCATGCTGGAGATGTCTGACATGCAGGTGTGGTCCGCGGGCCTCACACCCTCTCTGGTCACTGCTGAGGACTCCTCTCTGGAGTACAGCAAGGCCGAGGACTCTGATGCCACCGGCCACGAGTGGAAGCTGGAGGGGGCTCTCTCTGAGGGACCCCAGGGCCCAACTCTGGGCTCTCTGGACCTTGTGGAGGACGACACAGTGGACTCAGATGCCACAAACGGCCTTATCGATTTTCTTGACCAGGAGGAAGGTCAGAGGTCAGAAGAGAAGCTGCCAAGTCATAAGAGGCAGGAGGACTCGACAGGTGCAGGGCAGGACTCAGAGAATGAAGTGTCTCTTGTTTCAGGCCAGCAGAGAGTGCAAGCCCACCTCACAGAGTCCCCCACCGTGAGTCGGGTGATGGAGATGAGCCGGGACAGGTAAGGGCAGGGCTGCCGTGGTGGGTTGCCTTTCTTCTTGCTGGGCTTCCAGGTGAGATTGAGCCTGGCAGAGGGAATTCTTAAGTGCTGCTGACGACCCTGCCCGTGTTCTAAATGCCCTGGAGTAAATAGGTGCCAGCTTGCCTCTGAAGCCGCCCAGCCCTCACTGGGGCCTCTGTCATGGAAGAAAGGAGCTGTGATCTGCAAAGGCTAGTCCCTCCCCAAGACACCCCCAGGGTGTGGCCAGCATACTTAGAAGAAAGATTCTAAGGCTTGGAGGAACCACGTGTGTAAAGTGCAGCTGGGGCTAGGTGCTCTGGGCCTCTGTCGCTGCTGTGTGCTTATCATTGAAGACCATATTTAGAAACCTACAAGCATCAGGACGCAGGAAGTTATTTGTGTGGTCACACAGCCTGCGTGTGACAGAGCTGATAATGGTGCCCTTTCTACTTTACCTCTTTGAAAGAGTGAGGCTGGTGGGCTTATCTGGGGCAGGACAGAACTTTTAACTGTTAAGAGATGGTTATTCTCATGGGTGACTCCTCAGCCAGCTCCCCGTGATGAGAAGGCCTGGTACTGTGCCAGCAGCAGGGAAGCAGTGGTCACAGCGCAGGCAGAAGGGCCTCATGCACCTCTGTGCACACTGAGAGTTCTCAGGCCAAGGGCCCAACTCATAGCCATGCAGTGGACGCCACACTTCTGGCTCTGTGCTAAGTGTGGAGGAGGGCTTGAGGTGAGAGAGAGGAGACAAACATGTGGCAGGTATCACTTTGGCCTTCCTGGACTGTCACAGAAGCCAGTGACAGTGACCCTTTCTTCCATACTGCTGTGCTTCCTAAATTTTCCCCCAAACAGGGACACAGTCTGTGTGCTCCGAGAAGATTGTGGCCACCCAAGAAGTTCAGATCTGGCCAGGCCATGGGATATCTATTATCATTTCCTCTGCCCGTCCACATTGCTTCACTCAAAAGCCCGGGCTGACTGGCTACTCCCCAGGGTCCACTCAGTGTGGCCCAAATACCATAGTAGAAGGGAAAAGAAAGTCGTTTAGTGTATGAGACAGCAAAGATTTCTTTAGTTCCCAAATGAATCCTTTAATTAAAGGGGATAATTGGACAGACTGAGCCTGTGAGAATTCAAAGTGAAATACTGGCTTTCCAGTGAGAAAGGCCACCTTCCACCAACCTGTGATGGCTGTTCATTCAATAAGCATTGACTGAATATTTACCTGTGTGCTGGCCACAGCACCTTGTGACAGCAGGGGAACCAGAAAGGCTGAGTGCTGGGCCTCAGCATGTTAGAGTTTGGCCTCCCTGACCTCGGCCAGGCTTCCAGTGGGGAGAGACAAATTTTATTGACTCATTCAACAATATGTATCGAATGCCTATGATATGCCGGGGACCTATAAAAAGTGCCTAGGTGCTGAGGATATGGCATTGAACAAAACAGACAAAAGTCTCTACCTGTAAGTAATTTGTGTTCTAGTGGGGAAACTAATAGTAAATGAGATAACATAAAAAAATTAAAAGTAATTAAAATAGAAATGCTAGATAGATAGTAAGTACTAAAAAGAAAAATAAAGCTGGGAAGAGGAACAGGAGTTATGTATGTGTTTGGAGAGAGGTTGTTTGAAATTATAGATAGGGTAGCCAGGGAAGCCAGAGAAAGTGACATTGGAATAAAGACTTAAAGGAATTAAGGGGGTGAACCGTGTGAACACCTAAGGGAACTATCCAGCCCAAGGCCCATCCAGACCTGCAAGGGCTTTGAGGTGGAGCATGCTTGGCACAGTCCAGGGACAGTGAGGAGGTCATCGTGCCTACAGTAGAGTGAGTAAGGAAGATGAGGTCAGGGAGATAATGGGGCCAGACATGTCAGGCCTTGAGGTCCTAGAAAGACCAGCATTTACTGAGTGGTCTGGGGAGCCATTGGGGGGGATTCTGAGCTGAAGAGTGAGATGATCTGGCAAATGCCTTGAGAATAGCCTGACATGGCCAGGAGTAGACAAGGAGAATTGATAGTGATGTAGACTAAGATGGTAGCAGTGGCGGTGGCGAGAAGTGGTTGTATTCAGGATATATTTTTGAAAGTTAAACCAAAGGGGTTTGCTGACAAATGAGATATGGAATGAGAGAAAGAAAGAAGTCAAAGAGCTCACTGGTACATACCCTTGACCTGACAACCGAAAGGATGAAGATGCCATTTGCTGCAGTCGGAAAAAACTGTATGGAACAGGCTTGGGGAAAAGATTGTGAGTGGAGATTGACTATGCTGTCCTCGAGATGCTTATTAGGAATCCAAGGTAGAGCTGTTGAGCGGGCAGTTATACTCCTGCAGATCGAGGAAGAGATGCCGGAGACGTACGTCTGGGCACGAGGAGCACAGGGATGTAAAACCATGGACTGAATGAGCTCCCTGAGGAAGCAGTTGTAGATAAAGCTGAGAACTGAGCCCTGGGATGCTCCAATGTTCAGAAGTTAGGGAAATTATGAGGAACCAGCAAAGGACACTGAGAAGTAATGGCCAAAGAGGAAGGGCTGAAAGCCAGCTAATGTGGTGTCCTAGAAGCCATGAAAGAGCATGTTTCTGGGGGAGAGAGTGATCACCGTGCCAGATGAGCATTGAGATGAGGACTATTGAGTGCAGGTAGCCTGGAGGGCTGGATCAGAGGTGGGCGAGGTGATTGGTGTGGAGGCACCGATGACTGTATCATTGGTGTGAGCCAAGTGCCTCAGGAACCCAGAGTGGGGCCATTCACTCAAAGGGAGGGGACCAATGGCACTGATAACTGTGTCCTCTCCACCTGGACAGCATGGATGGCTCATTTGTACCTTTCTGGACAAGGCAGTCAGCTGTGTGATTTGCTCACACTCTCCATCCTTTGGATGGGCAGTACTGGATATGTTTAGGGTGAGCCGGAGCTCTGGAGGGGAGGGTATGTAAGAACACAGAGACGGAAGGGTGACCAGGTGTTTTTTTCTCTCTTCCTGGACCCCAGACTGCAGGACTGGGATGGGGAAGGCTCCATTGTCTCATACCTGCAAGATGCTGCACAAGGTTCCTGGCAAGAAGAGATCACGCAAGGCCCACACTCATTCCAGAGAACGGTCACCACCGTCAAAGGGCTGGAGCCCAGTGGGTCTCAGGAGTATGAGGCGATCCTGGTGTCTGTGACTGAGCACATGCAGTCAGAGCAGCCCGAGGCTGAGAGCCTGCAGGCCGACAGAGAACAGAGCAAACAAGGCCATGGAGAGTGGGTGCAGGAGGTGGAGCACACCTTCTCTCCAGTGGTAAAGGTGAGAGCCTGCAGGGAGGAGCCTGCCGATGCCTACACCAGTGCCAGAAGGTGTCTAAAGCCTGGGCAGCAGCTTCTTCACTGAGCCCAGAGCCGAGCATGTTTGCTTTCTTTAAAAATTGTGGGGGCGACTTCACTTTCCCTAGAGAAAGAATATAAGGTCATGGTCTACCTGTCTGCCTCCTTGATCCCTAGTGAGGAAAGGGAGGGGCCGACACGTATAGAGCTCCCGAGTGTTCCAGGCACAGCCTGTGCTGTCATCATCCTCACAACTGCCTCGGCTCTTGGAGGGTATTCCCATCAGGTAGCTGATGGTTGAGCAGCTTGCCCACGGTCACAGGGTCAGAGGTGGGCTTTGAGTTAGGGCTAGCTGACTCCAGAGCCACGGTTTTTGTTTGTTTTCTTTTTCCATCAAGTTTTAAGAAGGGCTTAGAACCAGGAGAACTGGGTGTTGGCTAATTCTGGTCCCAGCGTGGTCTGCATGGCCATCGACAAGCCAGTCTCTTTTTGGCACCTCGGTTTCCTCACTGGTGAACAAGGAGTGAGTGGATTATCTCCCAGGTTCGTGCAGCTCGGTTCTGTGGGTGGGCTCACCAAGTGGAACAGGAGATGGATGGGGAGAATGTTCCCGCCATTGCCCGCTCTCCCTTCTCCCCGCAGTTTTTCTGGCCTCTTTGGCTCTCGGTCCTCCCTCCCCTTCTTTCGGTTTGCCCAACTTTACTTTTTTTATTTATTCACTTTTATCTTCACACCCATTTCCCGTTCTCTTACCCATCCCCACAGACATCCATTTAAATGTGTTTTTCGAAAAAAAATTTCTTATAAAAAATTGCAAATAAATAGAAAAACAGAAAAAATAGACATTAACTTTCCATGCACATACCATCCAGCCTGCACAATTACCCACTCATGGTCAATCTTGTTTCATCTGTACCCACCTCGTCTCTTCCACCCTAACCCCATACTATTTTGAAGCAAATCCCAGACATGTTATTAATGTGTCTTTTTAATGTACGCATTTTTATGAAATCTGCGTTGCTGTTCCGTGCCTATGTATTTTTAATGTGTGCATAAACGATGCGTTCTGCGTCTCATTTGGTTTCTTACTGTTCAGTCAGCACTGTTTTCTCATCCTTTTTCCCTTCTGCTTCTTTTTCTTTTTCTCTCCTCTTGCTCCTATCTGAAATTAGCCCTAGCAGGCACCTTTGAGGACCCCAGGTCTCGGCTGGCTCCACAATGATCCCGAGCTGCTGGCTGTCAAGAGCTGCTAGGAATTAAATCAGGTTTTATTTAGAATTTGTCCTTGCCAAGTATGTGCCTCGGACAGGACAGGCGGCTGTGTCCATTTTTAACCCCAGCCCACCCCTGTGCATTCTTTGCCATCGGGCTATTATTCCTTGGTACCCACTTCTGCTGCTTCCAGTAGCAAGTGCTTGGCCTAGAGCACAGGGGTTCTTTCTTAACCAGGTCCGGATCCCTGACTCCTGGGGAAAGAGAAGGACACCAGGAGTGTCCTCTGCGGTCAGCCTTTGGTGAGGGAGAACTGGAGAGAAAGCAGGACTGCCCCAGGAGATCAAGGGAAAAACTTTCTAGGTCATATGGTTCAGCTGCTTCTTTTATTAATGAGGAAACTGAGACCTAGAGAGTCGAGGGCTTCTCCTTCTCCAGGGTCACACGGTGAACCAGCATCAGAGCCAGGAGGGCCCAGATCTCCCATTTCTATGTGGGAGGTGGGGGAGGGGCAGCACACCTAATGCCTCTCCAGCCTAGGACAGGATTGGATGGTGTGGATGAGCTGTTGAGCCTAATCATCTGACAAAACCCCAGAGAGTGATAATAGAGCTCATTCAAGGTGATGGTTTGCAAAGCACCCATTTGCTAGTCTTTCCAGTGAATCTCTGAAAATAGTGACTGATGGATAGAGAGATGGCCTGTAATTTGTGGCTTGAGAGGTGAGCCTGAATGACTCTAAACCAGCTGGTCCTTCTCTGAGGATCTAGAGGAAAATATCTGAAGTTGGACAGTTCCTGGTTAGGCCGAAACCTAACGTATTGTGGCTTCTATTTTTCAAGTGCTTTCTTGTTGAAATGAGACAGTGTTGTATAGTGATAGGAGTTTGAAATCTGACTCTGATTTACTTACTCTTTTACATAGGCAAGTTACTTAACCTCCTTATGCCTCCTTTTCCCTTGTAGAAAATGATAGAACCTACGTGGTAGGACTGTCACAAGGCTCAACTGAGTTAATGTGTGACATACACATGGAGCAGTGCCTCAGAGCAGTACAGACTACAGTAAGAGTTTGCTATTATTGTTCATAGTGGTAGTACTCATAAACCCTATGATCCTCACAGCACTCTCGAGAATGAGGTAGGGAGAGTACTTTAATCCACCCCGTTTTACAGGCAAAGAAAATGAGGCCCAGAGAAGGTGTCCAGTGAGCAAGCTGCAGGGTCAGGGTGCTGTGTCCCAGATCTGTGCTCTCTCCGGCATGTGGGCTGCTACTCAAAGAGGAACAGCCTGATCCCCAAAGAGAAATTCCTTTCAGCCACAGCTGCTGCGGCTGCATTTGTGAATCAGCTCTGTAAAAGCGCGTTTGATGCGCGTGGCTCCTGCTCCTCGTGGGCAGGCGTTGACAGCCAGCATGGGAAGAGCCTTTGGGGACAGGCCTTAAATAGACACACCAGTTATGCGCTTACGTTTAGAGTTGCTGTGCCCAGTGAAGGGGCTGATGGGAATTGCATGGGCACCACCACCTTTGCTGGACCTGCTGCGTGGGCCTGAGCAAATCACTCGTCCCAGGGCTATTTTTGAAATAAACCCTTAACTCTCCAGGGTATTCGACTGCCCCATCCTCTTGGGACAGGGTGAACATCATTCTGATCACAGCAATAGCAGCCCAGGGAAACACACAAATAGCCACATTATCTGGATACCTTATTCCCTGGACAAGAAGGTTTTTCTGGGCAGAACTGCCTCTAGTTTGCATAGGGTCAGTGGGCAGGAAAGGTGAGGAGGGGCTGAGCCCCTCTTCAAGCTCTCTGGGTGGAGCGGGGCAGGAATTGCTCATGGTGACTTTGACATGTGATTGTAGTGCCCAGGACACGCACACCTGCCGGCTTCCTTCTAGCCTAGTTGGACAGCCCCAGCAGCTGGTTTGGGAGCTAAAATTATCGAAGCCCTACGTCACTCAGGCATGAGGGGCAGAGCCTGGAGCTGCTCAGGAGGAGGACACTCAGGCAGACAGTTCTAGTGAGGGGCCAGTCCGTCTTCTGTCTGGAGAAAAAGAGTGGGAGACTGAGGAGCGAGAATGGAAAGGGTCCCAAGGGGACTTGGGAGTCCAAGAGGAGAATGAGAGATTGGACCCCTGCATCGACCATAACCCTGGCTCCACTGGTCCCCTGAGGGCCGGGCTGGCGAGGAGGAGGTGAGGATGTGGATGTTCATCACTCAGCTCCTGGTCACCCTGGTGCTCTTGGGCTTCTTCTTGATCAGCTGTCAGAACGTGATGCACATTGTCAAGGGCTCCCTGTGCTTTGTGCTGAAGCACATCCACCAGGAACTGGACAAGGAGCTGGGGGAGAATGAGGGCCTGAGTGACGATGAGGAGACCATCTCCACCAGGGTGGTCCGGCGTCGGGTCCTCTTGAAGGTAACCACAGGCAGGAGGCAGGGCTGAGGGCACAGTGCCGTGAAGTGAATGGGGAGGAGCTGGGGGAAGGCGCCAGACATCAGGTCAGGAGATGTGTTGGAAGAGAAGGGCCAGGAAGGCCTCAGGGGGCCTCAGTGGGAGCTAGAACCATGCGCGGCCTCCACTTGGACCATCACTCTGTGATGGCACAGAAAGTTCAGCTCTGGGACTTAGCAGGCCTGTTCTCATCTTCCTTCTGTCCTCAAGTCACACTCAGTGTGATGGTGACTGCAGGTCTTTCTACACTGTAAAGTGCTATAGAAATAAATTAAGTGCCTCACTTCCTCTCTCAGGGCCTCCTTCGTAAAACTTGCATAATTGTCCCTGTTTGGCCCGCTCCCCAGTGTTACTGCGGGGACCGAGCACACAAGGCTCTTGGAAGTCTTGGGCTTCATCCTGTCTTCAGGCTCCGGGGCACCTCGGGCCCACACGGTGCCTTTCACACTTGGAGCCTGGTGGTTTGGTTGCCGCTACTTGCTGAGTTGGAGTTTGCTCCTGGGGTGGGAATTTGTCGAACTGTGACTGTTGCTGCTGCTGCTCTTCTATTTCTTCATCCTCCATTCTTATTCTCAAACTCCCACTTATCAATTTCAGTTTTCTCCCTTTTTCTAATTGTAGGGGAATGAGCTTCAGAATATTCCAGGGGAGCAGGTGACTGAGGAACAATTCACAGATGAGCAGGGCAACATTGTCACTAAGAAGGTGGGTGCAAGGAGTCCCCTGAGCTGGGGAGGGGCAAGAGGGCCAGGGGCTACAAGGTGGTAGACTCACCCCCCAGCTTCTCACTGCTGCCCTAACAGAGGGATGAGCACAGCTCAGACAGAATGGTTCAGGCGCCAGGAGCTCTTAACTTCTATGATCCAGACATGACATTTTTCTTAGCCGCTTTGCCTGATTTAGCCTGAATTGAGCATCCGCTATAATGTTCCTGAAGGACCGAGCCCCATGGAACAGCCCAAACCTTGTCCCATGATGCCTGGCCCTGTGAACAGCTGTAAGACAGCGGTATGGTGGTCCCTGGGTTACCATGGTCCTCCTGAAATAGAAAGGATGTAGAAAGGCATTAAATTGGTAGTAGATTTTAATTCAGTAAATATGAACTCGCCTATCAAAGATTGGGCACAGTGCTAGGTTTGGGCCAAAGGAAGAAGGAGCAAAGGGAAAACCTCGTTCGTGTTCCCCAATGGTGCTATTCACACTACATTGGAGCAAACTCTCATGTCCGTCTTTCCTTCTGCGTGGTGAGCTTCATGTGGGTAGGGGTCATGTCTTATTTATGTTTTCATTTCCCATCCCAGCACATGGTAGGTGCAGAGTAAACAGTCATTAGAATATTTGAATCGAATTACTATAGATGAGAAAGAAATGCCCTCAGAAGCTTACAAGTGTACAGTAAGACAGCGTGAACTTCCATCAATACCAAAAGGCAGAAGGAAATGCTGTGGGCTAGAGACAAAAGTTACTCATGGTCTAACCTTTGTCATTAAACATCTGCTAAAACTCCTCTGCAAATCCTAGTCCCTCTGAGGCTGTCCAATGCGAGTGTTTCCACACAGTGGTGGGAGTGAGAGACCTAGCCCTATTCTTGCCACTCAAGGAAGAGTGCTTTAGGACAAAGACTGCCTTCCTCTGATGTCATGACGGCTCCACCAGCCCTTCCTCCCTTCCCTCTCTTCCAGATCATTCGCAAGGTTGTTCGACAGATAGACTCATCTGGTGCCGATGACACCCCGGAGCACGAGGAGGTGATTGTTGAGGGGCCCCCGGAGGATCCTAGGGAGCTGGAAGCTGATATTGATTACTTTATGAGACTCGCCAAGGTACTGCGGCGGCCGCAGCCTCTGAGGCACTCGCTCTTTCGAGCGGCCCGGCACCTCCTCTTGCTGCTCGCCTCTGCGCCAGCCCACTCTGGGTTTCAGTCTGCACCATGCTCACCTCTCTGGGCTCTCTTTCGAGCCTCCCTTCCCGCCCCTCACCCTGGGAGGCAATGTTTCCACCACCTCCGTAGGATGCCTTTCATTTTCTTGCCTCTTTGTTGCCTGTCTCTCTGTACGATCTGTCTGTCCTGCGTTCTCTCCTGCTGCTGTCTCCAGGTGGAGCTGAGAGGGAATAGCCTGCAGCCGGACCTGATAGAGGGCAGGAAGGGGGCTCAGATAGTGAAGCGGGCCAGCCTGAAAAGGGGGAAACAGTGATCTCAAGCAACCCCATTCCCCTCGAATGGCCTCTTTGGAGGTAATGTGTCCTTATGCATCTTTTGTGCATGGCCTGGTCCTCATGGAGTGGATGGTCCTGGAAATGGCTGCTCACGTCCTCACCCTCGTCCCCTCTCCCCAGCATGAGATAGGATGAACAGCTTTGCTCTGGTCTCTCTGAATCTCCGTTTCCTTGTCAAGAAAACAGAGTCAACAATATCTGCTGACCTACCTTTCAGGAAATGCAAAAATATAGATTTGAAAGTGTGCTTTGGTGACTGAAAGTGCTTGGTAATCTTAGTAGTAATTTCATCCTAGAAACCAAGCAATGGGCATATGGAGGATGGGTACAGGACATCAGAGAGGGCAGTTGAGTCTGTCTAGGCTATGCAGTTTCAAACCTCGTCCCCTGGAAGAGCTCCAACAGTGACAGACTTAGAAGTGGATTGTTTCTTGAGCCTCGAACTCTACAAAAGTCCCCACAAACCCACGGCTTCTGTTCTCCTTGATGTTTCTTGAAAGCTGTCACTCCCTTGCTTTCTAGGAAAGGGTGAAGTTAACAGGCCCCAGGGGTG